TGTCTGTCTGTGTGTGTGTGTGTGTGTGTGTGTGAGTGAGTGAGTGTCTGTGTGTCTGTCTGTCTGTCTGTGAGTGTGTGTGAGTGTCTGTCTGTCTGTGTGTGTGTGTGTGTGTGTGTGTGAGTGAGTGAGTGAGTGTCTGTGTGTCTGTCTGTCTGTCTGTGAGTGTGTGTGAGTGTCTGTCTGTCTGTGTGTGTGTGTGTGTGTGTGTGTGTGTGAGTGTCTGTGTCTGAGTGTTTGTCTGTCTGTGAGTGTGAGAGAGAGTGTGAGTCTGTCTGTGTGTGTTTCTGTGACGGGCAGCATCAGTTCAAATACTTTGTGTGACTGCTGAACACTAACACACACGCATGCACACACACACACACACACTGTCAGCGCAGCAAGTGCCTTCAAATATTTGTAATTTCCAGCTTTTATATGGTCACATGACCTTTGACCCTTCAGAGAAACTCTGGCAGTGACAGAATATCATGCTGTTGTTTGTATGTACAGCTGATGGGCCTGACCTCTGGAGTTTTTCTCTTGATTGTCTCTCTTTAATCTTGAATTTTGTTGGTCAATTTTTTATTTTTTGCAATAGGGAGGCATTGTATTTATTTGCATTTGCAGATATTTATTGTATCATTTATAGCCAAGTGCAGAATTGATTTTCAGAACAGCATTGAGCCAGTCGATTGGTCAAGCTGCTTGTTCTTCACAATAGCGACGCTTCATTGGTCAAATCCTTCGTCACTTTTTAAATCGAGCACTAAGTATTTCCTGTCCATCAGTATTTCCTTTCTTTCCTAATCTTGGGTCCAGAGCAGCAGAAGTTGATTGACACTCAAATGATGATTTACTTTCTGTGAACGTTGGAAGATTAAAATTCTGTCGAAATGGAATATCAGAACGAAATTATTTGTATTTATTTTATATCCTATGATGTGGGAGTTTGGGTTGGTTTTCAACAACTTTATCAAACTGGTTTGTATCAGCAAATGTCTGATAGGATTGTTGATTGCCAAATCTTCACTGAAAGTGGCTTTGTGTGTCACATTGTGTTTGGAAACAAAAAAAACGGTGGTTTTCATGCCTTATTCCTTTTTTTGTGTGACTGAGTTCAGTTGACGTTATTACTGAGAACTGAAGATGTTTTCCCAGGATCCATTTGGATATGAATTGAATAAAATATTTATCCTTTATTATTTGCTCTCATTTGTTTTTGGCACCTCGGAGGCGATGTATAAAATACTGCTTATTCACAACACATGAACATATAAACACAGAACAAAAAACGTATATCAACAATTATACAGTAGTTAACATTTGAAGTGGATCAAAACCTTTCATCAAAGTTGTCCTAAAATCAAAATACCTTCTTGTCTTTGATCCACTTCAAATGTTGACTACTGGATAATAAATCAAATGACGGTAGGATAAAGAACCTCTTAAAAATATTTTTTAACTACCTGGATGGTTATAAAAAGACAAGACGGTCACTTTCACCCACAGCAATAAATAATGCCTTTGTTTTGTTTATTGCTGCAGCATCAGGACAGCGCTTTATGAAAGTACTGATTAGATTCCTAGAGGAGCTCTTCATCATCACCATCGTTCTGCATTAAACCAACCAAGCTATGGTATCTCAGATCATTATCTAGTCTTGTGCAAACATATAGCTAAATTCTACTCCTTGGTACAAGTATGGTAGAACCATCACTTCTACCACAAAAGACTGCTTTGTAAGTCATCTTCCTGATTTATCCCAATTCCTCAGCATATCCAATAACTCAGAACAACTTGATGATGTAACAAAAACTATTAAATCTCTCTTTTCTAGCATTTTAGATACGGTCGCTCCTTTACGCTTAAGGAAGATTAAGGAAAACAGTCTGACACCATGGTATAATGAGCACACTCGCACCCTAAAGAGAGCAGCCCGGAAAATGGAGCGCAGCTGGAGGAAAAAAAAACTAGAGGTATTTCATATCGCATGGCGGGAAAGTAACCTGTCCTACAGAAAAGCATTAAAAACTGCTAGATCTGATTACTTTTCGTCTCTTTTAAAAGAAAACAAACATAACCCGAGGTATTTATTCAATACAGTGGCTAAATTTAACGAAAAATAAAGCATCAACAGGTGTTGACATTTCCCAACAGCACAGCAGTAATGACTTTATGAACTACTGTACTTCCAAGATCGATACTATTAGAGATCAAATTGTAACCATGCAGCTGTCAGCTACAGTATTGCATCAGATAGCTTGCTATAGATCGAATGAGGAACAATTCCACTCATTCTCTACTATAGGAGAGGAAGATTTGTATAAACTTGTTAAATCATCTAAACCAACAACATGTATGTTAGACCCTATTCCATCTAAGCTCCTAAAAGGCTCTGTCAGTTCTTCGTCATCAGTTAGGAACCTAGGTGTTATATTTGATAGCAATCTTTCGTTAGAAAGCCTCGTTTCTAGCATTTGTAAAACTGCATTTTTCCATCTCAAAAATATATTAATAGTGTTTACTGTCATCAAACATGTTGAACACTCGTTAAGCAACTTTCTCTCATTCAGGTTAAACACAGGGTAAATTGAGACGTCAAGTCATCGATCACAAACCTTACCACATCAATATTCTTGGTTTCGTGTTTGAAGAAGCTGTTATCTCTAGGTTTTACGCCCTTCACCCTAAAGACATAGTACATCCCGGCCAGGATCAGCGCTGCGCAGGCGATCGCTCCGATAACGGCCCCCGCGATCAGACCGCCGTCCACTGCGTCACAAACAGCAGCTTCAGTCACAACAGCACATGAACACTAGTGTGTGTCAGTAAAACCGCTCAGTTCGTGAACTCACTCGGTGACAGGTCAGTCGGGATGACGATCCCATTATCATCAGTCACATAATCTGAAAACAAGAGAAAGTGCTATTAGAAGCAGGGCATGGAATCAGCTGTCCAGTTTTGGACTGGATGGGTTTTTCTGTCGCGTGACTCTGAACTGTGTGTTGTGTGTTTTGAGTATGAGCTGTGTCTGTATAAAGGTTTTAGGTCTGGAGCGTCTCCGCTGTTCAAGTCACTAAACTTTAAGAAATGAAGCAGTGTTGGCTCAAAAACGGTTTGACAGTTTGTCTGAATGAAGGAGTGTGAATGAGGTGAACCTACACTGCCGGTGTCGACACACGAAGCCTCTCTTCTGCATACAGTTGTTGTCGTTCCACGTGCCGTCGTGATACATCTCCTCGCAATTCTCTTTCCCCACGTCGCCATTGTGAAATGCTTCGTTGGGTTCTCCAGGAGCCCAGTTTGTGAAGCCCAGAGATGTCAGATCCGTCCAGGCCCATTCATCTACAATCAGAATGGGCACAAGATCAGCACATGGGATCAGAAATCACATAAAGGATGAGGGACAGAGGGATCATCTGCGTAGCCACCTCTGGTGAGGCCGATCCAGATGTAGCGGTACTTGGTGTAGTTGATGTTCCTGACGAACTCCACCTCGGCTCGACTGTGAATCGAGGCTAATTCGCCTCCGTTCACCTCTTGGCAGATGTGTCTCGCCTCTGGCCACGAGTAACCCACTTTTCCGTTATATGTGAAGTAACAGTACCGTCCGTATGGCCACCAGCCCGGCAAACACTTCCTGTCTCCAGGAGCCGGCGTCGACGGAGGCTTTTCTGCAGAGAGATTGGAGACAGGCGTTTGTAACTGATATGAAGCGGTCAGCTTTACCTTTAGTGATTTTGCAGATGTAGGGCTTGGCGGCGGTGCAGGCCGTGTCATTCCAGGTGCATGGTTGACACTCATACTAGTTTGAAGCGGTCGGGTTATAATCGATTATACTCGTACCCCCACGATACATGTCTGTCCCGTACACAGAATACGGCTCCCTGGCACAACCAGCAGGACAGTGAACCCTGAAACAAACAGGAACCCAAAGCAAAATGAAATAAACCCAAAAAATTAGTTTCCATAACATGAGTAACATATATATGACACAACTGCAGGTTTCCAGTCAGAACATTTAGACCAGTAGTTGTTAATCCACAGCAGCTTCTGTATGTCCAGGTTTATCGCTCTGATTATTTGAATCAATGTGTTAAATAATGGAGACACAAGATGTGCTGCTGTGGATCATGAACCACTGCCACTGACAGTACATTAAGTTAACCAGGGTTTCAGATATTCAAGACTCGATAATTACGTCATTCTGTCTACGGAGTGGTCCAGGTTGGGTTTTGTACTGCAAGTCACAGCGTCTGAAAAACAGCCAAAAAAAGAGGAAACAGATTGGTTTAATTTACACTGAGAACAGACTGGGATAAATTATAGTTCTAATTCAGTTTTAAAGATTCATCTTCTGAATCAAGCTTTGGTTGAGCTCACAGTCCGGTAAGCAGCCCAAAATGTCCAGTCGCAGCCCTGCTTGACCGTTCCACTCTAGCGGCAGAACACGAACATACTGCGCTGAGATCGGCGTCCCCAACAAACGCGTCTCTGGACTGGATACCTGGATACTCCTGTGACAGAACCACCATCAGAACCTTCTAAACTGAATGTATCTGATCTTCTCACAGACAGAGGCTCCTCACAAGCTCTTGAGAGGTTTTCTTTCATTAAATCGAGTCCAAACATCTATGAGTAGTGTGTGTGTGCGCGTGTGTATTAGAGAGAGAGAGAGTGTGTGTGTGTGCATTAGAGAGAGTGTGTGTGCGTGTGTGTATTAGAGAGAGTGTGTGTATTAGAGAGTGTGTGTGTGTGTATTAGAGAGCGAGAGTGTGTGTGTGTGTGTGTGTGTATTAGAGAGAGAGTGTGTGTGTGTGTGTGTATTAGAGAGAGAGAGTGTGTGTGTGTATTAGAGAGAGTGTGTGTGTGTATTAGAGAGAGTGTGTGTGTGTGTGTATTAGAGAGAGTGTGTGTGTGTGTGTGTGTGTGTGTGTGTGTGTGTGCGTATTAGAGAGAGAGAGAGAGAGAGTGTGTGTGTATTAGAGAGAGAGAGTGTGTGTGTGTGTATTAGAGAGAGTGAGTGTGTGTGTGTGAGTGAGTGTGTGTGTATTAGAGTGAGTGAGTGTGTGTGTGTGTATTAGAGAGAGAGAGAGAGTCTGTGTGTGTGTTTATGTGGTTTATGAGGACACAAATTTGTATAATAACATTGCATTAGAGAGAGTGTGTGTGCGTGTGTGTATTAGAGAGAGTGTGTGTATGTGTATTAGAGAGCGAGAGTGTGTGTGTGTGTGTGTATTAGAGAGAGAGTGTGTGTGTGTGTGTATTAGAGAGAGAGAGAGAGAGAGAGAGTGAGTGTGTGTGTGTATTAGAGAGAGAGAGTGTGTGTGTGTATTAGAGAGAGAGTGTGTGTGTGTGTGTGTGCGTATTAGAGAGAGAGAGAGAGTGTTTGTGTATTAGAGAGAGAGAGAGTGTGTGTGTGTGTGTATTAGAGAGAGAGTGTGTTTGTGTGTGTGTATTAGAGAGAGTGAGTGAGTGTGTGTGTATTAGAGAGAGAGAGAGAGTCTGTGTGTGTGTGTTTATGTGGTTTATGAGGACACAAATTTGTATAATAACATGGGTATGACATAGGTATTACAACGAGAAGGTGATTTATGAGGACATTTTCAGTGTCCCCGTAATTCAAAAGGCTTATAAATAATTCAGAATGAGTTTTTTGAAAATCTAAAAATGCAGAAAGTCTCCTGTGAGGGGTAGGTTTAGGGGTAGGGTTGGTGTAGGGCAATAGAATATACGGTCTGTACAGTATAACAACCATTACGCCTATGGAGAGTCCCCGTAAACCATAAAAACAAACCTGTGTGTGTGTGCGAGTGTGTGTGTGTTACAGGGTTCGTACACATTTTTACCAATACATTTCCATGACTTTTGAGACAATATTCATGACCTAAATGTGCGCTCCACTGAGCTCAGCGGAGAATTATCGTCAAACCCGCCTTCAGACAAACACAAGCACATGAAGCTCACAGATATCACTCCAGCAGAGCATAGCTCAGCCTGCTTTCACATGAAGTCTAAAATTATGAAGATGAACAAATTCTGATGGTTACCAACAACGTAGAGGCATCCGTTGAGTTCGCTGACACCGTTTCCAGCGCGCCGCTGCCCCATCTCTCGCACATCTGTCCATTTGTTCAGATGAGGGTCGAAGCGCTCCACGCTGGATAGCGACGCAATGCCGTCATTCCCCCCGACCGCGTACACATAGCCCTGAAGAAGACATCAGATCAACACGATCAAACCTGTGACACTCATGAACAGAAGTCATTTACCCTCTCAAAACAATAGAAGTGAAAGCTTGTCTGGGCTGGTGAATATTGTGTACAATCGGGCTGGACGATACAGTTAAAATAACGTTGTCTATATTACACAATGAATTTTATTTACACATTGTTAGTTATAATATAAGGATTCACCAGTGTGTAGATCACAGTTTATTCTCTTTTTATTTAGTAGATTCTATCTACTTAAGTGAACATGACGTTAACTAGCCACATAAGCAGTAATATGGTTTAGCTGTATACTCCTGTCATATGGATATTCCTCTGACACACTTCACTCACAAATAACAGATTACATTGATTATTCCACTGAAAACACACATTCTGAGACGCTTCTTAGAAACAGTCTTTGAAATTTGTATTGCAAAAAGCTGTATAAATAAAAATGGAAAAGTGTGCTGAATGAAAAAATTGAGCAGTATTGATTGGATTCTGCCTAACTTCAACCCCTCTGCTTGGTCACGGAGTTTGGCACTCGACAGACATGTCTGTGATTGGCTGTAACGCCCTCAACACTGTTCTAAACAGCGCTCACACACAAACGCATGGAAGCGTTTAAAAGCAGCATCTATCAGCTGTCATAATGAGTGAAACTGGCTTATTGTCTTTAAAAGTCAAACCTTTAACATTACTGCCATATGCATATTTCCTAATTGTATATCGTCAGCAAAGAGAGTGCAGTGATAACGCTAATATCTGATGGCCAGTCCTAGTGTAGAATCATGTGTAAGTGGCTCTGTGGGCCTTTCGTACCCCGAGCGCCACAGATCCCACGCCTCCTCTGGGTGTGTTCATAGGAGCCACGGCGCTCCAGCGGTCCGACTCGATGTCATAGCGCTCCACATCACTGAAGCAGGAGTTATCATCCAGACCACCGATAGCGTAGATGGGTCCGCCGAGAGCAGCCAGCGCAATCCCCCTCCTGACAAACACAAACACAGGACAACCTCTCATTCGGTCTGCATGCTCAGCTGTCTTCTGTGTCAATACATACAATAGCTTTATTTTGCTGGACGTGTGCATGGACATAACTCTTTAATCCCATGAGAATTCAAGTATAACTATAAATATTAATGAAACAACAATGAATTACAACTATAAACTATGAAAAGTATTAGAGCAGAACATCAGGTCAAGGAAAGCTTGCTGTTTGTCATACCGTTTTGTGCTCATGGAGGCTTTCATCATCCACTTGTTGGTGTGTGGATCAAACATCTCCATGTTCCCAAGGTGCTCGTTGCCATCATGGCCTCCAACAGCATAAACTTTCCCTGTAAAATGATGAATGTGAAGTTGTTAGTATGCTTTATTACCTGTTTGTTGCTGCCGTGTGTTTTGAGTTTGAGCTTCGTCAAGTTAATTCTTTATCGTCTATTTTTTTTTTATCTTAAAATCAATTTTATACACCATCATTTTCGTTTCTATGATGTGTGAATATATCCCCTATCGTATTCTACAACAAAAACAATCAAAGCGGTATTGCGTTTACTGACCTAATAAACTGTTTTGGAGTCAAGCAAAACGTCACCGGGCCCACTCATCGTTTTAATCATACGCTAGATTTAATTATATCGCATGGAATTGATCTTACTGATATAGATATCGTACCTCAAAGCGATGATGTTACTGACCATTTCCTTGTATCGTGCATGCTGCGTATTACTGATATTAACTATATGGCGCCGCGTTATCGTCCGGGCAGAACTATTGTTCCAGCCACCAAAGACAGATTCACAAATAACCTGCCTGATTTATCTCAACTGCTCTGTGTACCAATAAGTACACATGAACTAGACGAAATAACTAGCAACATGGGCACTATCTTCTCTAATACATTAGAAGCTGTTGCCCCCATCAAATTGAAAAAGGTTAGAGAAAAACGTACTGCGCCATGGTACAACAGTAATACCCATTCTCTCAAGAAAAAAACTCGTAGTCTTGAGAGCAAATGGAGAAAAACTAACTTGGAAGGTTTTAGAATTGCGTGGAAAAACA